TCCCACGCGTCCAGATCGCAAACTCCTGGGCATCCTAACTTATACACTCGCTCCCTAACTTATACACTCGCTTCCCTAACTTATACACTCGCTTGCACAATCGGCTTCTAGCCTCGACACTGTCCGAGTGGGTATACACTCGCTTGCACGATCAGCTTCCGGCCCTCATACAGCACACAGTTTCGATGTTACAGGGGCCTCTGTCACGCCAAGCTAGCGTTTTCCTAGAGAAAGACTAGCGCATGCATAGGTGTCTTATTCAAGCCTGGATTTACAAAAGCACCTTACACCTTATCTATAAAGAGATGTCTCTAATCTCAAGAGTATTTCACGTGACATCAACCATTTCTCTTATTGTTCTACTCCTCCAAAGGGCTTTTGGGTATTATTAAAAGTGCATGATAATGTCTACATGATAATTAACATTTTCGATGATTTGTTTAGCGATATCAGCCTGATAACAATTTTCTTGGCTTGCATTGTCACTCATTGTTCACCATGCCGATATGTAGGCGACAGGCTGCAGCGCTGGCCACCCACAAGGCTGAGGCTGAGGCTGAGCGACAGCGACTGTCGACAGCGCTGCTGCTGCCAGACTCTAACCACACTCTGATTTTCGCATGCATTGACTTCAGACGGTCATTCATCCATTTTCGTTTCCACTCTCGTCGTGACGGCCCCAAATGCCACGCCAACCACGCCGCGAAGACTACACCGTAGGGTGGGTGTGCGCGCTACCCATCGAGCTGGCGGCAGCACGGATGATGCTAGATGAAGAGCACCTTGATCTCGAGCATAACACGGCCGATAACGACGAGAACCTATACACATTAGGCTCAGTTAGCGGCCACAACGTCGCTATTATATGCCTACCTACCAGCCAGATCGGCAATAATCCAGCAGCCGCAGTGGCGACGCAGATGCAAGCGATATTCACGAATATCCGGTTTGGGCTGATGGTAGGTATTGGCGGCGGCGTCCCAAGCGCTGGGCCAGACGTCCGGCTGGGGGACGTGGTAGTAGCCAGCCAGTTTCACGACACGTTCTTTGGGGTGATACAGTACGATATAGGCAAAACGACACCAGGCGACGTCAAGCGCAAAGGATCACTAAACCCACCGCCGCGTATTCTGCTTAGTGCGGTAGCTCAAGTGCGGGCGAGGGATCTGCGCGGCAGGAGCCAGCTTTCACAGCATATCTCTAGGCTAGAGAGCATCGCCGAGTTCCAACGCGCTAACGCAGGGCCCGATGTTCTATTCAAGGCAGCCTACAACCACGAGCGCGGTGACACGTGCGACCAGTGTAGCTTCGAGGGTCAACAGCCCCGACTATTACGCGAGAGCGAAGAAGAGGTGACGGTACATTACGGCACGATCGCGTCTGGTAATCAGGTGATAAAGGATGCTACCCAGAGAGATAGGGTCAGCGCAGAGCTTGGTGGGGTACTGTGCTTTGAGATGGAGGCGGCGGGGCTAATACATAGCTTCCCATGCCTTGTTATCCGCGGTATCTCTAACTACGCCGACTCACATAAGAACTACAAATGGCAGGCTTACGCGGCGGGGACAGCAGCAGCGTACGCGAAGGAGCTGTTGGCGGTGATATCGCCAGCAGAGGTGATGGACACATGCCGGGCGGAGGATGCCATGCGCAGCAAGGATGGTTAGTCTAAACGACTGTATTGCTGTCAATGATGCTTTCGGGCTGACGTGTTGATAGAACATTACCGTCAGTCATCACCTTTTGACCATGCTTCTCGGAAGCGCATAAAGACCGTCATCTCTGAGGGCTCAGAGAGTGGTTCTGTAGAGTGAGTTCTTCATGTCTAACTAACACTCCTTCACTAAACTTCGACTAAACTAAATAGACAGTGGACTGGCACACGTACGTAGCTCAATCGCCCCTAACCACAGAAGCGGCTTATTCTTACTATGCTAGTCCCTACACACTCCTAGGAACTCTCACGAACACTGCTGAACGATGAACAAAGGCAGAGTCTACTGGACTCTCTAAGGTTTGACCAGATTGATGCGCGCTAGATGACGATTAGGACCGCCCACCCCAAGACGTGCAAATGGTTCTTGAAGAGTGAGTAGTACCTTAACTGGCTCGATACAACCAAGCTAGATGAACACCATGGCTTCTTGTGGATTAAGGGCAAGGCTGGGACGGGTAAGTTGACGTTGATGAAGTATGCGCTAGCTAATGCTCGCAGGACGATGAAGGACCATATCGTACTCTCCTTCTTCTTTTCCGCGCTCGGCCAAGACTTAGAGAAGTCTATAATCGGGACATATCGTTCTATATTGCTACAGCTTCTTGAGCGTCTCCCGGCGCTTTAGGGTGTTTTCGATTTGCTTAGCCTGTTAGCCTTAAAGTTCACCGCAGATCACCAGTGGGATATCAGCACGCTAGAGATACTGATAAAACGATCCATGTTGAGCTTAGGAGGCTCTTCTGTTATATGCTTCATCGATGCGCTTCACCAGTGTGAAGAAAAGCAGGTTCGAGATATGATTCAGTTCTTCGAGCACATTGGCGATCTAGCCGTGTCAAGCGGGATCCGCTTCCAGGTGTGCTTCTCGAGCAGGCACTAACCACATATCAAAATCCAAAACGGGCTAGAGCTAGTGCTAGAGGAACAAGAGGGGCACTCGCAAGACATCAGCAACTACGTCGAGACTGAGCTAAAGATCGGGGAGACCAAGATTGCATAGCAGGTCCGAGCTAAGCTTCAGGAGAAGGCGTCAGGGATCTTTTTCTGGGTTGTTCTCATAGTCGACATCTTAAATAAAGAGTTCAACAATGGGCAGTTACATACACTTCAAGGTAAGTTGGAGGCAACCCCTAGGGGCATGCAGGAGCTATTCCGCAACATCCTGACGCAAGACTCGCGCAACAAGGATATGCTAGTGCTATGCATCCAGTGGGTGCTTTTTACAAAGCAGCTGCTCAATCCAGAACAGCTATATCATGCTATCCTATCAGGTGTCGATCTTGAAGCAGTGGCAGAATTGAACTATGAGGAGATCAGTAAAGACGATATTTCACGGTTCATCCTTGATTCATCGAAAGGTCTTACTAAGGTCACTATTTTAAGAGGGCAGAGGGTTCAGTTCATACACGATTAGCAAGGGACTTTTTACTTGAAGATAATAGTCTTAATAAGATCTGGCTAGAGTACTATTATAACTTCTCGGGTTAAAGTCACGAACGACTAAAGCAGTGCTGTCTTGACTATATCAGCATTGTCGTTGCTACGCCCTTGTGGATTCCCGATAAGCTTCCAAAAGCCTCCTCGTAATAAGCAGTCGACCTGCGGAAGTTAGTAACCCAAATATTTCCCTTTCTAGAGTATGCCGTCCGCAATGTGCTATACCACGCGGACGCCGCATAAAGCGGAGGCATCCCTTAGGCGGAATTCCTCGATACATTCCCGCTTCCTTGATGGGTCAAACTCGACAACCTGTTTGAGAAGCATGAGGCGCGGAGACACACGGAACGCGTTAGTCTGCTATATTTGCTGGCCGAGATTAACGCAGCGAACCTGATTAGGGTCCACCTGTTAGTTAATTTGTGCCTAGATGTAGAGGACGAACGTTACGGCTGCGCCTTCTTCGCAGCTAATGCCACTGGAAGCCAGGAGGCTATGCAGGCATGTATCGAAGGCCTCCAAGCCGCTCAGTTAATGCCTGACCACGGCAGGAGCCGGCTGGAAGAAAGTTCTTTATACGAGAGGATAGAAGGAAGTCTAGGCCGCGACTTCATATACTCTAAAGAGACAGGAATGCTCATGCATGTAGTGGAGATCGGTAGTGTAGCTGTATGTTCGTATTTGATTAGATTGGGGATCTTGGACCTTGACTCAAAAGACATAAAGGGCCAAACACCACTGTACGTAGCAGCAGAGAAGGGAGCGAGTATTCTAACTCGAATGCTTCTAGAAGGGGGGGCCAACGTTGACGCGCAGGGTGGATACTACGGCAATGCACTCATTGCGGCTTCAGCTGGAGGCTACAAAGAGATAGTAATGCTGCTGGTCCAGAGGGGCGCTGATGTCAACGCGCAGGGCGGATACCACGGCAATGCACTCTTTTCGGCTGCTACTGAGAATGGATGGACCCCTATCTATGCAGCAGCAAAGAATGGCTACGCCGACATCGTGATCTTTCTGCTCGACGTAGGTGCAAACTTTCATGCCCCAGCCAATTCTGGACCCACACCACTGCACTCAGCTGCAGAAAATGGGCATGTGAAAGTGGCCAGGATTTTGTTGGATAGGGGAGTGAAAGTCAATGTACGCGATGAAGATGGTAACACGCCACTTATTTTGGCATCAAGCCGAGGGCAAGTTGAGGTTGTCAAGATGCTGCTCGAAGCGATGCACAGCTCTGAAGTCGACCTCCGTAACACCAACGACATGACGGCGCTGATGTTGGCGTCATGCAGTGGGCATATTGATGTCGCTAGGTTGCTTCTGGCGACTGGCAGCGTTAGCGTTCAAACTAAGAACGCGAAGGGATTCTCGTCGTTATCCCTTGCTAATGAGAATGGGCATCTGGCAGTTGTAAGTCTGCTACATGAATATGTGGCAAGTCATTCTCTGGAAAGATCCAATGCTGATTCCGGCTATTCGTCTATGCCAACACGATCCGTGGATGGCTTTGCAGTTGGAACTGTCGATGCTGATGATGTCAAAACAACGTACTCTAACTTCACTATCCCGGAAACAACGAAGGAAGACTACGTCGATGAAATTGTTCGTGATATTGCAGACAAAGTTCGATTCGATAAATCGAATGGCCAGCTGTTGGAGAGGATATACAACGTCCTTCCTGAGTTGCTCAAGGGATTTGCGTTGAGTGTGGGGCGCAGATCACAGGACGAGAAGCACAGAAACATTATGGTGTTCGTCTACAAAAATCGCGAGTACGTATAATTCATTAATCCTTTGGCGGCCACAGTACTGATGCCAGTATAATAGAAGAATCGTCCACACCCTCGAGAAAGCACTCTCAGCACCCGAGATAGACATCTTTGGTATCATGCCACTTAGTGAGCAAATGGATCGCTGGCATGAAAGCATAGAAGATGCGGCATACGAACCACCAAATGACGAAAATCAACTCTCTGAGGATGTCGGCTGCGAAGACAGTGGCATCGATGACAGACATGGAGATGACAGAGACATTTCCAGCTACGATGCGGATGACCATGAACGTGGTGATTGGTCGACTGAAAAAGACCGCATGATAGACCCCGAGATGCAGGAGCTTTCTGAGTATCGGAGTCTCTTATTTGAGAATGTGGCGTATCGATGGCTTCTGGAGAGTCTACGCCGCGAGTGTCGCCTGGCTCCCGCGACGCCAAACTATATGGTTGAGACCAGACAGGGCATTATCAAGCACCTGCCGAGCTCTCACATCATGAGCAGACAATACCCTGCGGAAACTTTCAAGGCTGTATTCGAAGTGCGTTGGGATCCAGTCACATTTCTTCAGGAACAAGGCTACGAAGAAGCACGGGGTGACTTGATTGAGACCTTCGTTACCCTCACCGGCTCTTCGACTGACGCTCAAGCTTTGACATGCGTCAAATACTTGGTACAAACATGGCCGTTCTCTGGCGCAGAAATTATGCGCTTGGTGAAAGAGGTCATATCTGATCGTCACAGCCAAGAGTACTCATGTAAGTCACGGGCTGATTTTCTTCTGTTCTCTCTTGACGCTGACAACAATCTCTAGGCGGTTTAATCGACGGTACCAAGGTCAAAGCTTGGATATCTGGGCCTTTGTTCATGGTGGAAACTATCGGGACAGCGTATTCGGTTGCAGAAGTCGGTGAACAATTCGCATGGATCGGTTCGGCGCTTCGGACTTCACCTTCCAGCTCAGAGTTTGCTTACTCAGTACCACGTCTTGAGGAAGCCCGCATTGCGAGCCAATCGGTCGAGCGACTCGAGAAGGGACTCAAAGCCCATGTGAGATTCTGTATTACTTTCTCCGTGCAACAAGACAGTGAACAGCAAATCAAAGCGCAATGTCAATGCTGGCATAACATGTTTCAAAACCCAGTCATTGTGAAGGGTTACCCTATACCGCGTCGAGTCGAGCCCAACACAGGTTTGGAGATGCCAATCAATATGATGGCAGGCTTAGTGGGAACGAGACACGTTAACATGTTTGACGGAAAGCTGTTCATCAAGGGCCACGCGTCAATGTTGATACCGCGAAGACAATACGGAGACCTGCTATTATGGCACTTCCTGCGACTTCCAAGCGGCGAACGCATCTCATACTTGCACGAAGCGGGCCCACATATAGAAGGCATTGACATGTCTCATTTGAGCTCTTTGAGACACGTCGTTGGTTGGTGCTCACAAGCAAAATTTGTCGCTGGTAAGCAGATCACATGTGACCAGGAAGTTCACTAACATGTAACCAGGAACCAAAGAAGCATCATACGACATTAGGGGTACAGTACTTCCCAAGCCAATTGGAGGACATGGACTCCGAGGGAAGGAGGTTGCTCGTCTGGATCATGTTCCAATTGGCGATTGTTACACCTTCGGCTCCGTCGCCAGAGTTCCTACCAACTTCCAATCTCAAAGCCTAAAGTTCTTCTCCAAGACATTCGTTGTGCTATGGGACACAGAAGATGAGCGAGGATGGATCGTTAACGGTACTACTGCCTTTCTACATGTCTTACGCGCTTCGATCGAAAGCGATAGAAAGGGTGTTGTTAGTTCAACATGTCTCATCAAGCCGGAAATGATGCAGGATGCGGAAGGACCTCATTCTGCTGACTCAGCCATGGAGGTTCTGCTGAATCCCGAGCACAGAGAGCTGAAGATATTCAAGAACAAAGACGGCTACGATAAAGTACAGGACCGGATTGAACATTTTGTTCATATTTTTGAAAAGATTATAGATCACCAGATCAGAGCGGCCACAGCCAGTCCAATAGATGAGCAACACGGCGATGATTCGCATGAGCCCCTTGAAGGTTGGGACTTCATGGATCTGGCTAATCAGGGATCTCCTCTGTATCCATGTATGGACACCATACCTACGGCTGATCAAAGCTGGACTGAAGTAGTCCGAGCACTCCACGCGGTCACTCTGTTCGGCGTCGGATTTGGCAATCTCATCCAACCAGAGGATTCTTGCAATCTCTGCAATTACTGGGAGCAATTGCCGAAGAACCAGCACTACTTAGCCACTTTAACGTCTGACTTCGGTGTCATCCTGAACCTTGTCCACAAGCGCCTTGACAATCCACAAACGTTGTTCCACAGTATCCTACGACATCATCCGAGCAGACCGGTCCAGCCATGCCCCTGTTCGAATGAATATCTTTCCAAACACGCTGAGACAGCGCGAATCCTACAAAAACGAGCGCCTGCTCCAGCCTCCTACAACATCTATTGGGACGGATCGGAGATACTAGGTGCAGTTCTGATAGGTGTAGGTCCGCCTGATGCCCGCTTGCAGCTTGCAGCTAAGGGTAAGGTGCCCATCTTGCCTATTCAACAGGCCAGAAGCTACTCCCACAGGCACGAGGCAAAATCCGCTCCAGATCTTTCTAGAAACTACATTTCAGTCGAGTCCGTTACTTCGCCTATGAGCCAACCGTCGCCCAAAAGATGCTTTAGCAGTTACACAGTAGATCAACCAGCGTCAAAACGGATGTTCAACGACGCCATTTCTGCGCTTGACAAACGACCTTGCCAGCCTACGAGCCGTAGCGAGTTTCAAATTGCTATACTGTGCGCTCTGCCGGTCGAAGCCGATGCGGTTCAAGCCTTCTTTGACGGCACGTGGTGCAACTACGGACAATTCCATACAGACAAAAACACATACACTGTAGGCCACCTTGCTGGACACAACGTGGTCTTGGTACATATGGCTGGTATGGGCAAACGCGAAGCGGCAGTGGCCTCGATTTCTCTCAATCAGAGCTTCGAGGGGATTAAATTAGGGCTTGTTGTGGGTATATGTGGTGGCATCCCCTACCCCACACTAAGCCCTCCAACGGAGATTCTACTGGGCGATGTGATCATTAGCACTGATCTTGTACAGTATGACCTTGGAAAGCAATACCCGGTCGGTTTTGTCAGAAAGGACAACCATCATGACAGTTTGTCCCGGCCGGACGGAGCAATTCGGTCTTTCTTGAATAAGATTCAAGGCCGCGTGGGACACCGTGAGCTGGCTAGGCGTACCGCTTCTAATCTGGAAGAAGCCTGTAAGACACTAGATGACGACGGCTTCAAGTATCCTGGATTGGAAAAAGATAAGCTCTACCACTCCAGTTATCGCCATCAACACCAAGACTTGGCGGATTGCATCAACCGAATTTGCGCAAGTGGTACCATTGTATGCGGCGAGGCTGCCAGGAAGTCCTGTGTGGAATTAGGATGCGATGTTAAACAATTGTTGGTTCGTCAGCGTCTCATGAAAGCTCAAGGGATACGGTCTGAGCACCCAACACATACAGAAACCGATCAATGGATACACTTTGGCTATGTAGCATCTGGCGATACTGTTATGAAATCTGGCGAGGACAGAGATAGGAAAGCTAAAGAAGAGAAGGGAATTCTGGGGTTCGAGATGGAAGGCGCAGGAGCATGGGAAGAGATCCCAACCATAGTGATCAAGGGTGCATGCGATTATGCAGATAGCCATAAAAACGATGACTGGCACTGGTACGCAGCAGGTTCTGCTGCCGCTTGCATGAAAGCGCTTTTACAGGAGTGGCCCGTTTTTGATAGCGGCCAAACATCTGGAGTATCTGCGCACAAGCGCCGAAGGGTCTGAAATCTATGATTGTATCTTGATTGAAGCCAATGTACGATAATACGAATTACGTGCCCTTTCCAGTTAGGATCAATACCTTTGAACTAGAGTATATCGTGTTGAGGGTTACTGTAGGTGGTCAGTGCGTGCAACAGTTCACTCAATGCAACACCCCGCTTAGGATGCCCACCCACCACAAATGAGGCTGTAGACACCCACACAAAAGCTATCATTATGAGAAAACTTAGTAAAGTAGTCTAAGTAGTCTAAGTAATCGTTCTATCTAGTTAAATTTTGCTAGTAGCTTAGTATTGCGGCCGCGCGTAGTAGTTTTAATAGGAGGCTGCGCACCTAATAATATAGAGCCGTCACTACTTTAGCTCTCTGCATTACTATTACTACTTAACTTTCTTAACTTCTAGCTTTATAAAGCTTCTTACCTAGGCTTACTTTGTATATCGTAAGATTTTCTTAAAGTTTTAGCTTTAGAGTCGCGAGATTTTTAAGAAAGCGTAGTTTACTTCTCTTTTCTCCGCTTATTTTCGTTATTTCTTGCTGCAAAACTATA